AGGTGGCAAGTCCAGCGGAAAGTGATCTGCATCCCCAAAAGTGTCACTCCTTCTCGTATCCTTCAGAATATCCAGGTATGTGATAATAGGTTCTATCTTCTTTAGCTCACTTAGATATTTTCTGGCTCCAATTCTGCCTAGCTAAAAAGGCAGTATTGTGGGACCCGAGCTTCTCTCACAAAGCTAGTTTTCCTGAACCCTACTCTGTCCCCAGGTGTTTGACTTCACCTTCAGCCCAGAAGAAATGAAGCAGCTGGATGCCCTGAACAAAAATTGGCGATATATTGTGCCCATGCTTACGGTGAGAGTGCATCACTCCCCAGAGACAAATGTCATGTGGCTCAGCACTTGTAGCTCAAGTAGCTAGGGTGCCAGTCACATACATCAGAGCTGGCGGGTTCGAATCCAGCCCAGGCCTGCCAAACAACGACAGCTACATCCAGGTAGTGCCTTTGGCTCAGTGAGTAGGGCACTGGCCCCATATACCGAGGGTGGTGGATTCGAACCTGACCATGGCCAAACTGTAACAAAAAAATAGCCAGGCATTCTGGCTGGTGCCTGTAGTCCCTGCTACTTGGGAGGCTGAGGCAAGAGAATCGCCTAAGCCTAGGAATTGGAAGTTGCTGTGAGCTGTGATGCCATGGCACTGTACCCAGGGTGAGAAAGTGAGACTCTATCTCAAAAAAAAAAAAAAAAAGAAAGAAATGACAACTGTAACTATAAAGTAGCTGGGCATTGTGGCCAGAGCCTGTAGTCCCACCTACGTAGGAGTCTGAGGCAAGAGAATTGCTTAAGGTTAAGAGTTTGATGTTGCTGTGAGCTGCCTGCACTCTACCAAGGGCGACATGGTGAGACTGTCTCAAAACAAACAAAAAAAGAAATGTCATGTGAGATTTGGGTGGGATTCTGGGGGGTCCAGGCCTAGCTTCAGGCTTGCTGGTTGTGGGAGGGACAGGGTGACATTGGCAAGGAGACATTCGCAATTACTACCCTGTACCTACTGCTCTCTTTTCAGTTTATTGAGCTCAGGGAAGTGGTGTGGCTCAGATAGGGTATATAACCTGTGAGTCTACCTGCTTCTCAATATCTTGTAATCTAGAACAAGTTATTTAACTTCCCCAAGTCTTACCTTCTTATCTACAAAAGGAACCGAGGTCCTGACATGTAGTAGATTCTCAGTAAATGATACCAGGGAAGCTAAAAAGCACTGTTGACCCTGTCAGAAGGATTGGGTTGGGGATGAAGTCTTCTGCACATAGGAAAATAAATAGTTCCTGGCCACTTGATCCTAGTTGAGCCTACAAACTCTTGGGGAAGGAGCAACTCTGCGTCAGGCTCTGGGCTTGGTGATACTGTGGCATTCTCTGAGGTGGGTTTGGGGTGAGGGAGTCCCAGCTACTGCCATTTGTCATAGTACACTGTACATAGATGAATTTGTTCAGGAATATTTGGGGAAGATGCCTTGAGTGTTTGGAATGGCATCTCCTGCTAATGGAGTCATCTATCTGTTTCTCTTTCTAGGTGGATGGGAAGAGAGTCCCAAGGGATGCAGGGCACCCCTTGTACCCCTTTAATGACCCATACTGAGATCACAGCTTCCCTAGTTTCCCTTCTAACTCTCCAGGTATAAGAAAGAGGAAGGTAATAAAGTCATTGGAACATCCACTTTGCTTGCTTGTCTTATTTGTCTGGTCAGGACTGGGATGGAAGTTGTTTCCCTGAAGGGTAAAAGACCTGATGTAACCTTCCCTTGAAGCCCAACTTCCTTACCTTTTTTTGGTTCTGGGAGAGCCTGCAAAGCCACTGAATTCCATTTCTGTATTCCTGCATTAGGCACGTTGGGAAGCAGTGCCATTTAGTGGCAGATCTCGGCACTGCATACTTCCCTAGAGTTGTCTTTTTGTACTTGTTGAGACAGAATCTCAGTATGTTACCCTTGGTAGAGTACTCTGGCGTCACAGCTCACAGCAACCTCAAACTCTTGGGCTTAAGGGATTCTCTTCCCTTACCCTCCCTAGAAGCTGAGGACTACAGGCACCTGCCACAACACCCTGCTATTTTTTTGTTGTTGTAGTTGTCATTGTTTACCAGCCCCCATCCAGTTTGAATCTGCCAGCCCCAATTTATGTGGCCGACACCCTAAGCACTGAGTTGTGATCGCTGACACCCTAGAGTTGTCTTATTAATAGTGTCAAAAATCTGTCACTTGGGTGGTGCGCGGCACCTGTCCCATATGCCAGAGGTTCAAACCCAGCTCTGGCCAAAAAACTGCAAAAAAAAAAAAAAATCTGTTATTTGAGGAGTAAGATTATAGCAATAGTTGTTCTGTGGTTTCATGGCAGTGCTAGGCCTGGGCCTTCAGTTTCCATACCCCTGTCCTGGTCAGTGCCTAGGTTCATGAATATGAAGAGAGTCCAAAAAAGTTATATTCAGGGCGGCACCATATACCAGAGGTGGCGGGTTCAAGCCCGGCCCCAGCCAAAAACTGTAAAAACAAAAAAAAGTTATATTCAGAAATTTGATGGTCCCAACATGCAAAATCCAGTGAAGCCTTTAACAAAAAAGTTGGAGATGGGGCTTTTTCTTTCAGACATTATAGTCAGTGTGTATAGGTTACCTGAAGTGGGAGAGTCCTGCCTAAACCTTATTAACTCTGTCCCTAAAGCCTTGTGTACTTTTAGGGGCCCACTGCTAAACTGGGTTTAGGAAGGCTTTTGGGAAATTTCTCTAAATCACAATCACTCGACACTCATTTCAGTTTACAAGTTAAAGCATTGCTGTTCAGTATTTATTGGGTACTTGTGGGTTAGGCACAATCGTAGCCCTGGAGATACAGCTATAAGCAAGACATATATATAAGTCCCTGCAGTATACATCAGGAAACAGACTAAGTAATTGCATAATTAGTTTAATTACACTTGGAAGAAGTGCTGGGTGAGAAGCTGCTTATTAAATCTGCTGAGATCTGAAGTATAAATAGGGATTAATTAGTTAAAGGAGGTGAAAGTGGAAATAGCTTTCCATTAAAGTTCAACAGCTTGGCTTGGTGCCCGTTGTACAGAGGTTAGGGCGCCAGTCACATGCACCTTGGCTTGCAGTTTGAGCCCAGCCCGGGCTTGCCAAACAACTATGACAACTGGCAACAAGAAAATAGCGGGGGTGGGTGCCTGTGGTTCAGTAAGTAGGGCACCAGCCCCATATACAGAGGGAGGTGGGTTTGAACCTGTCCCCCGCCAAACTGCAACAAAAAGTAGCTGGGCGTTGTGGCAGCACCTGTCATCCCAGCTACTTGGGAGGCTGGGGCAAGAGAATTGCCTAAGCCCAAGAGCTGGAGGTTGCTGTGAGCTGTGACACCACAGCCCTCTACTGGGTGTGACAAACTGAGACTCTGTCTCTAACAAAAAAAAAAAGAAAGAATAAAAGAAAATAGCCTGGCATTGTGGCGAGTACCTGTACTCCTAGATACTCGGGAGCCTGAGGCAAGGGAATTGCTTAAACCCAAGAGTTTGAGGTTGCTGTGAGCTGTGATGCAGGGTACTCTACCAAGGGTGACATAGTGAGACTCTGTCTCAAAAAAAAAAAGTTGCTTGTCACTTGTGGCTCAAAGGGTTTGAGGTTGCTGTGAGCTGTGATGCAGGGTACTCTACCAAGGGTGACA